TATTGCCTTCTCTTATCCTCCCAATCCTTCTAATGGAACCCGTTAAACTTCTCAACAAGTATTCTTTGTGCTAGCATATCTTCTCTGTGTGTGTATGAATCACTTAGTTTAAGATGTGTGTGAATGGGGAGTCATGTACCAGAGCATGAGTAACATACCAGTGGCTATGACACGCAAGAAAATATCTTCATCTCCATCATCAATCATTTGATGTTCTCACAGGAGAGGAGAGAGGCCTCATGAGAAGCTTTTCCCACCCATGCTGGAATGTTGAGGGACTTAGTCGTGTGCAAGTGACTACAGGTGTTCTGAGTTCATAAGTGCAAAAACTGTCCTATACAGAAGATAGGGGTTCATGACAAACCTCCTCTTCCTCTGTCTCTTAAATTCTTTTACTCAACTCTTAGGCATTTCACTGTTCCCTGAGCCTGAGAGGAGAAGACATACATACATACATACATACATACATACATACATACATACACACACACATACATACATACATGTGTTAGCATAAAGCACTCAACAGTCACTTATTTTTAACCTGTTGAGCAATTACAAGTCTTCACATTAACAGACATCTACTCTAATCAACACTAATCTACTCTTATCAACACTAATGTTGATAAGTGCTAATCTATGTTCATAAGCATACACTACTTGGAAAGTATAATGATAGCCATGATATGCCCCAATAGGCTTTTGATCGGGTTTACAATAGGTATGAGGCAGCCTTAAATTAAATAACAAATTGTTTTGGTACTACCATAAATTGTGTAGCTTGATCTCTTTGTATGGCACTTAGCTGTTAATTTGGGAACTTGTTCCCCAAGCTGTGTTACTTTGCTGAGAATTGATGCAAGGGGAGGAGCTCTGTCCTACCTCAACTTCATGTGCCATGCTTTGTTCAAGCCCATGGGAGACCCATCCCTTACTGAATGGAGATAGAGGAGGAGTGGATGGGAAGGGAGTAGATGGGAAGTGGAGGGGGAGCAAGAAGAGAGGAGGGAGAGGACACTGGTCTGTGTGCAAAATAAATGAAAAAATTATTTAAATAAAAATAATAACAATAAAGATTCATGCCACTATTGCACCAGGATGCAACAACTTTCCAGATCATGTAATTATTTGGTCTTCAGGGTCCACAGCTGGGTAAAACTATTGATGCCTTTTCTCTCTTAACAACCTGCATAGCAATTGCCTCCAATAAAAAAATCTAGCCATGAGGGCTTAGGTTTCTACTTTCATTCCACCTTTATTTCTGTGTGTATTATAGCCAAACCATGAGATATCTTCAACAACATAGTCTTGTCACTTAACTATAGTATGAAACCAGGAGAAAGGCCAATAGTCTGTTCTTTTTGGGGGGGCCACAGGAGGCTCTCTCACCAAATTCTAGAGAGGCATCATACTTTTGGCACTGATACTTTCCTTTGGTAACACATGGTTCTGTGATCAGTATTATTTATGCCAGCAGTATACCCTAATGCAAATTCATTGATAAAAGTTACATATACCATTAAGTTAGCTTTCACAGTAATTGGTTTCCATGTGGCTTTTTCAAATGACAGTTCTGATCGACATCTGATACTGTTTCCTCTTCTCTAACTTCTTACTTCCCACCTCCGGTTAAACCTTTCCATTCTCAGTATTCCCCAACTTGATATTACACCTATTCTTGTACCCTCCATTAACTGCCCTCTTTTATTTTTCCTCGCATGTTCTTTTCTAACTGACATATACAACCATTAACTTCAACTTGAACAGAGAATTCTAACATTTTGAAGGTAGAATCCACATATGAGAGAAAAGAAGTGGCATCTGTCTTTCTGTGGCTAAGATACTTTATTCAGGTAACTTTTATCTCTTCATTTCATCCATTTCCACACAGATATTTTTTTTCTTCTTTTTACTCCTTAATAAAATTCCATTGTGTATATATTTCATAGTCCATTATCCATCCATTAGTTGGTGAGCAACTAGGATAATTCCAATTCCTAACAATTATAAGTAGAGAGACTACGAATATTGATGTGCCAGCATCTCTGTGGTAGCAGAGGTATGCAAGGAATGGGGTAGACGAATCACAACACAGTTCTGTTTAACCGTTTAAGGAACTAACACACCGAGGTGATTTTAGCATTTAATATGACTTATATTATGCATATAGCACTTAGAATCTCATCAGAACTCTTCACACCCTTTCCTGATAATAACCACTCTGGCTGGGGTTGCTGTAAAAAGGTGCAAAGTAACCTAATTTTAATGTCTTTGTTGGCTAAGAATATTTTACCACCTTTTAAAATCTTAATAGATATTTGTTTCTTATTTTCATGACCTTCTTTTAGTTCTAGGGACCATTTTTATTGAATTGTTGTTTTCTCTTAATGTTTACAGTTTTGAGGGGTTATTTTATATTGTACATATGAGGCCTCTGTTAAATGTGTACTTGGCAAAAATTGTCTCATTTTGTGGACTTCCTTTTCACACAGCAGTTTCTATTATTATACACATGCTTTTAAATTTCATAAGATTCCATCTGTACACTTTTTGCCTTATTTCCTAAGCAATATATTCAGAAAGTCCTTACCTATGCCAGAATTTTGAAAAGTTTTTCCTGCTTTCTTCTTGCTGTTTCAATTGTTCAATGTGATGATTTTGGTTTTGTTTTCTTTTTCTCCCTTGGTCTAACATAAAATTATTATATGAATATGAAATAAAATATTTGTTCTAAAAATAATGAATGCTAATAAGAATTCAGCATGAAAGGAACCCTGATATATTGCTGATATGACTGTTAATTACTACATGGAGACATCACAAAATAACTATAAATATAATCATAATGTTTACCAGATAAACCACTCCAAATTATACACCCACAGACGTCAGTCAAACAAGGAGGATTGAACAGCCATGTTAATTGTGACACTTTCCCATTATCTATATCATGGAGTCACCCTAAGTGACTGTCAATGGGGAGATATATTGTTGTTGAGGATGTAAGAAATGAGGGTTCCGAAGCATCGTTGTTGGGTATTACTTGAATCTCAGAGAAATTTGGGTTAGATGGTTCATGGTTTACTTCTTGTTCAGAAATTCCAATTTGAGGACTGATGGGAGATGTCATTCTGTAAATATGTTTCTCATACTGGTTAATGAATAAAGCACTGCTGGCCAATAGGAAAGGAAGATAAGATGGACTAGGAGACAAGGAGGAAAGAGGAAGTAGTAAGGAGGAGTCAAGATGAAGAGTCTGGAGAGAGCAGAACCACCAACAGCCTCTCCCGGGTAAAATAAGACCATGTGGAAATACATAGAAATGGGTTAATAATTAAGACAGAGCTAGCCAATAAGAAACAAGTAACTGGCCAACAGAATTATATCAAATAAAGAGTCTCGGTGTGTTAATTGGGGCTGGCATGGTGGCGGGACAAGACCGGTGGTGGGAGGAAAAACTATACTCCTTACAGAGGTCTTCATCCTAATTCTATAGACTGTTGTTAAACATTATGGGATTTTGAAATATGCTCTGTGTATTCTTGGAGAATTTCATACATGTATGAAATGCATTTTGAGCACATTCACTATCCAGCTCCTTCTGAACATCCCCCTAACCAAGCATCATGGTTGGTTATGCATCATGCAACCTCATGTCTTCGTTTTCTTTTTTTATAATCCTCTTAGTCTAATTAGGGCTGCTCATATGAGCATGGGCTTATGAATTTGTTTTTAAAGCATATTTATAATGTGCATGTGCACAGTTTTAGACATTAGTGTAGTGTTCTAATTGTTGAAATTGAAGAAATCTATTAACTGACCTCTAAGAGGGAAAGTCCTTCCTTACAAAGGACTATGCAGCTGTAGCCAAGATAGAAGAACCTCCATGCACTTACTTATGTGATGACAGAATGTATTGTTAAAGAGTGAGCCAGATGAAATGGGGTATTTGGAGAGAAATACACTCAGATTAGAGTTAATTAGTCTACAACAGGTTACCTTTTCACAACTTCAGTCATCAATTTTTATAGCCACTTGAAATTTTCATTTTCTCTGATTTTAAACCCATAACCATATAACTATGATTTTAAAAGATGGACATATGATATTCTGTAACTAATTTTATAGAATCATGGCTTTAAAAAGTAAAAGTTTGTGCATATATTTTTATTTCCATATAAAGTAATTCTGTATCTAAATCTGGCAGTCCCATAGGAAATGATGGTCTTGGTTTGCAGTTACCTTGAGAATTCATCATTCTTAGATGTGTTCCAATAGGACAGAGAGGCACAGATACCTTATGATATTAATTTTCATAATGTGCTGTATGTCACATTAGCCAGGTTTCAATACTTCAGACAAGTGAATTGTAATAAGCAATAGGAATAGTAATTTCAGGCACCTTCCCACCAAGCAATAAATTAGCTAAAAAATATTATCTCTAGGACAACGTGAAAAGCAGTCATGTATTTTAGGTAAGAGTGAAGTGAACAGGAATGGTCCAACTATCCTCTTTGTTTACCAGGATAATGGCTGAAACATGCAAGTACACATTTACCAGGAGTCTACATATACAACTGAGGAAAACTGTTAAATCAACAAAAGGCTAGTACTTTAATATCTTTTTATAGAGATGTAATTGCAAATTACTACAAGTGAGGCATATAATAATGTAATAGCAGAAAATATTTTAATTTTATACAATATTCTTAATATCCAACAAAATTAAATGTAATTATATTTACTAGACTGTGATCACATCATCTCATACTGTGATTTGTGTTGTTATCCTTTTCAGTAAATATTGTAAGGATGTATGTAATTGTTGAAGCAGAACAAATCAATAGTTTAAAATGAGGAAATTCCATAGCAAGTATTACATTATTAATCATATGGCTCTATTAAATATGAATAAATTTGAGGATGCTGACTATTTTTTCAAAATTAAGCTGGTTTGGTATATGATTTCTTTATCTAAGGCTGCCTCATCTGCCTAGAGTATGCTGTCTCAAGTCTTCAATATTTTAGAAACCATTTGTAAGTCTAAATGTTCAGATATTTCAGTAAATTCTTGTAGATGACAAAAGAAAGGACATTTATTTTTAGTTATCATTACTTCTTTATATGTTTATTTCATATTTGTACCATTTTCAAATGAGTAATTTATGCTTCACAGGTTGAAAGTGATTCTATACTATCAATGCAAAATGCATGATTACTTAAAATACACTTTCTTCTTAAAATGTTTTAAATTTTTTTTTGTGGTAATTTAAAATGCACCTACTAGGAAATTTTTCCTTAGAGGTGTCACCAATTCTTCCTAGTAGACATGCTCTACAAAGTGATTTGCAATTAGAATTTGAGTAAAGTCTTAGATAAAATCTTTTTTAAAACAGAATAATTTAAAAGCTATGACTTCTAAAAACAAGCCTCTCTTAATTTGTCCCCTGCAATAAATTCAAATCAGAATAGTTTTTTATGTTTGACCTAACTCATTTCACTTCAAGTATATAAAGTTGGTGAAATATATATATATATATATATATACATATATATATATATGTATGTATGTGTGTGTATGTATACATATATATTCATACACACATAAATATATGTGTGTGTGATATACATATATATTTCTCAGTAGACAAAGATTGTTGATATGTTTCAATAGTCTAGTGCTACTACGTATACTATATAAAGCGTGTGTTCATTTCATTCCTATTATGTACTATGCTTAAAACTTGTTGTGGACTTTCTGTGCCTTTTTCCTTCTGATCACACTCACTTGACACCTTCCCGTGCCTTTGTTTGTACACTAGGAAATAAGCATGGTGTGCATTAGTAACATAATCATTCTCTGTTTTAAAAGAAGCATCCATAGTGTACATTTATATTAAGAAATTATCTTCCACAATATTAAATTTATTTTCCTTGAGTTAGGAGACAGGAGAAAAAATATAGATATTTTAGGCTTTCATAACTCTTTAACACTCTGTTCACTCTATGATTTTCCTAATATGTGTAAAATTAGGCATATGTTTTTCTATTTCTATGATAATTTCCTGTATATTCCACAGCGGTAGATCTTTTCTATTTTAGAACCACAGAAACATTAAAAAATATGATATCAATGGGATTGTCTATTGCTCTCCATATGAACATCATCAAACTGTTCCAAATGAAATTACAATAGAAAGCAGGTGGTATCTGGGCTGTCACCAGAGATATGTACTTTGGATCATCATAAGAAAAACAACTTATTTCACCTGTGTTTGTTTCATGAAAATATCTATTAAAAAATGGTAACATTAGCCTCAAAGCGAAATCACTAAGATTAAATTAAGTTTTGTTGGATTGATTGAAATAAACTCAATACTTGATTCTAGTTACCAACATGCAGACGTGTTCATCAAAGCCAGATACAGATTGTTGTTCATGTGTCATTTTAATATTGCATAACAATTTAAAAGTTTAATTAGTAAATTATATGCCTTCTTGATTCCTGTGTAGTATACAAAAACATATGCATCTTAGAAACTTTAAAGATAATGTGGTAATTAACATACTAATATTATTTTTGACACTTACAGGACTATAAACAGGGTAGAATACATGATACATTATTATAGAATCAAGTACTCTAGAAGTACAAGGTATTTGCCTTATGTAACTCTAATAGATGAACGAACCTTGCATATGTACTTGAAAGGTTAGTTTGAGATGTGTAAGTTGTTATGTTTTTCATAACACCCCTAACACCCATTATGAGAGAGAGGAGAATAGTGAGATATCATACTAAAAAAAAAGGTTTATGGTAATAGGTTTAACTGATAACTCAATTTAAAAACTCTTGTTTCACCATATTAAAATACATTTTACAATTACATTTTATTCTTTGAAGTTTTTCTTTCTTGGAAATTTCCTAAATGTGCACCCTTAAATCATTAGTTTTATGCCTCCTGGGAATGCAAGAATCTCATATGAATATTATATCACTCTTAAGGCATTTTATTTTGAAAATTTAAAACAAAATATCACAATTTTGAAATATCACACTCTTGAACAATCCACTGGGATAATGTATATTAAAAAAAAAAAACAAGCACAAATGAACAATAATGAAACTGAGGAGCTCTGTTCCAAATGGCTGTCATAGCTACTGAAAGGTTTCACAAAAACCTCTGAAACGCACACTGAAAAACAAAGGACTTCCACATGAGATGAAATATAAGATGATATTTAAAATATTTGTACACGTCTTAAAATGCTCAAAATATAACTTTCTAGGATGTAAAATGAACAATTTTTAAACTTAGTTTTTGATTTTTTTTCCCTGTAGACTTGATAGAACAAGAGAGAAATGAAGAACCAATCTGTGGAGATAGTGTTCATTTTGCTGGGACTGACAGATGACCCTCAGCTACAAATTCTCATTTTCCTGTTTCTGTTTTTCAATTACATCTTGAGCCTGATGGGGAACTTAGTGATCATCCTCCTCACCCTGCTGAATCTCCGCCTCAAGACTCCAATGTACTTCTTCCTCCGGAATTTCTCCTTCTTAGAAATTGCATTCACATCTGCCTGCATTCCACGGTTCTTGATGAGCATTCTCACTGGTAACAAAACAATTTCCTACAATGCATGTGTAGCTCAATTATTCTTCTTCTTTCTGTTACTAATCACAGAGTTCTACCTCCTGGCTGCCATGTCCTATGATCGTTATGTAGCCATCTGCAGACCACTGCACTACCCCATCATCATGAACAGCAAAGTGTGTCACCTGCTGGTCATCAGCTCCTGGGCAACTGGATTCTTGTCCATCTTCCCCCCTTTGATGTTGGGACTCAAACTGGATTTCTGTGCTTCCAAACTGATAGACCACTTCCTATGTGACACTTCCCCTGTCCTCCAGCTGTCTTGCACAGACACGCGTTTCATAGAATGGATGGCTTTTGTCATAGCTGTGATGACACTTGTAATCACCTTGATCTTGGTGATCCTCTCCTACACACTCATCATCAAAACCATCCTAAAGTTCCCTTCAGCTCAGCAACGCAGAAAGGCCTTTTCCACCTGCTCCTCACACATGGTTGTTGTCTCCATCACTTATGGCAGTTGCATCTTCATGTACATGAAAACATCAGCCAAGGAGAGAGTGGCTTTAAATAAAGGTGTAGCTGTGCTCAACACTTCAGTGGCCCCTTTGCTAAACCCTTTCATTTACACCCTAAGGAACCAGCAGGTGAAGGATGCTTTCAAACAGGTGTTTCACAGATTGTGTTCTTCTCAAAACAATGGGTTAAGATTTAGGCACAGATAGCATGCTGTTGTAACTTGACTGAAAAAATGAAATTGTCAAATATACCCACTGTCGTCTATGCCATTAATCTCCTTTACTACTTAGATCATAGTAAGAATTCTAATTGCCCTGTGCACATCTTTCAGAATATGTCTTCTGAATCACTAGAAGGAAACTGCTTCTACAGTCTATAACGTGTAATTATATCTTAGCTTCAAAATCTCTCATCTCATAAATGATAGATTTATTTACTAAATGTATTGTGCAACTGAATGCTGTTAGACATAGTGGACTTGATTCTATCTGTATATTAATTGCTAACCATTTCCTTGGCAGTTTAATACTTTATGTTTCTAATAGATCCAAGCTCAGAGTATGATATTATTCTGTAGTGTGAAAGAGGTTGTTAAGGAAAATAACTATAAAATCTGAGTCAATGTAAAGATAAAATTACTCTTCTAGAAAGAAGCATCCAAATGATGAACCTCGTGAGATAAACAAAGGTAATAAAGCCTCAAGGGGTATGAAGTATGAAGCATGTAACGGAATGAGGAGTGTCTCCTGTAGAGTCATAATTAACCATTAGGTGACATAATTAGATGGCTTCACCGGAAGAAACAACTTCACCTCATGCTTTGATGCTATTTTTTATATTTTTCATGGTCCTGAACCCTAGAAAAGATACTATTGTGAAAAAGTCAACATGTAACTTGTTTATATGTCATTTGGAAAAAATGTTTAATTGTAAATTAAAAATTTTTTAACAAATATGCTTGAATCATTTTTTGTAAAATTAATGATGTGAAAAATGATTCAAGCAGATTATATATTTAGTATAAAGTTATTTCAATCTAAACACATTGAAAAATTTGCACAGCCAGGGAACTACGTAAAATGTGGTATTTTTTGTTCCTTCACTTTCTTCTGGATGTAAATAAAAATAAAAATAAAAAAATGAAAACAACACAACCTCTGGGACACATCTTTATCAATTTTTAATATCACCATACAAGTCATGGCCTTTGTTATGACACACACGCGTAACTCTTTTCTCTAAATTTCTCCCCATCGCTCCCCCACAACAAACTCCCCCAGATCCCTTCCTTCCCACAGTCATCTCCCCTTTGTTCTCAAGGACCTGGTCCTCCACTGAGCTTCCCCCCCCCCCCCCCGCCATGCCTACTTAATGTCTCTACCTACCAGTGGCTCCCCTGACACCTCCCACATCTGTTTGCAATGAAATCCAGTACTTACAAGTGATCTTCCAGGCAACTTAAGAATGCTATTCTCCTACCCACACAAAGGATCTTAAGCTTTTTGTGTGCTTTTTTTTTTTTTTTTTTTCTTTTTTGAGTAAGAACAAACATGTTGAATGTTTAGGGAGGTAGGAGGGAATAATAAAAGTTTTCTAATTAAAAAGTAAAATTACAAATAAAAAATGTTCAATCTTCACTTTACATACAAATTTCCATATAGCAAAGAAATATGAGGTCTCCTAAGCCTGTTCCCTGTGCTGATTTGATGAAGCCTGTCTGTTGCACTTACTCTGCCAATTTTCATTTCTTTTTGCCATTAGGTTGTAGTTTTTCTTTAAGGTAATGACTCAGCTAAGTGTAAAAAGAAGGTGTATTGAAATATCTCCTGAACACCGTATGTCCTTTCATGGGAGTAGGTCAAGTCTACCAAAGGGGATCTACTCCTCAATCCGCATTCTCATGCAGAATTTATGAAATAATCCTTAGACGAAAACAAAACTGTGGGGGATATGTTCCAATCCTGTTGCCACCTGTAAGATCTCATTTCATTTTTTTTAATATTATAATTGTAGGAGAAACTGCAGCCAGCCTACCCAAGCCAGGCTAGCCTGCATGCACTTCCTCCCTGAACTAAGCCTGTCTCTGTGCCCAGAGACTATTGACTAACAGACACCTGACCAGAGCCACCAATGAGGAAAGGACAACACAGCAGAGTCAGCCGCCTGAGCCAATAGGACCTTGGGAGGGGATATAAAGACTCCTTAATAAAGGAGCAGCAAGCTCTGCTCCTCACTGACACCCAGTGCCTGAATACTTGGTGCTGGGTCTTCTCACTCCCTCCCCCAAAGGGTGTCCAAGCAGGGTAACCTGCAGCATATAATTACATCATTACCCCCTTCCCTTTCCTCCTTCCAAATTGTGCAAAAAACTCACCCCCTTGCTCTTACATTTCATAGCCTCTTTTTCTTTAATTGTTGTTTTGTGGGTAAGTACTGAAAGACCCCCACTATGCTTATTGCCTGCTTGAGCTGTTCTCATTAATTGCCAAGGTCAAGTTATGAGAAAAGTACAGGAGGGAACCACGTGCTGCTCTCATCCAACGCCAACCAGATATCTGTGGTCTGCAGCTTGGACTAAAGCAAGGTCAGCAGGACAGTATCTAGGATGCTGAGATAGTCATAACTGAATTCTTTGTATTCTTTGTGCCCAACCCAAATAACCAACTGTTCTTGGTTAACTACAACTGCTACATTTAGATGAAACAATGAAGTCCCTGTAACCATGCTTCTGCTTCTGTAAGCCTGCTTCTTGCCACACCAACCTTATATAAACTGCATATGCTTTAACCAGGCACGCTCTCTGAGGCGTCCATAGGTACCTGTGTGTAAACAATAAATAACCTCTTGCACTTGCATCCAGTGGTCTGGTCTCGTCTCTTGGGGGCAAGGGCCTTCCCCCCTGACAGGCTCCAAACTCTTGAGGTCTGCTGGGGTCTTTCAGTACGTGTGTGTGCACGCGCACGCACCTGTGTATTCTTATTTTACATGTTGATCCCAGTTCTTTCTCTCTCCCTCCCTCCCATGTCCTGGGGCATCCCTCCAATCCCATTCCCCACCCACTTCACAGGGAGGGTGATACCTTCCCAGAGTGATCAACAAAATCTGTCAAGTCATATGGAATAGGGTCTAGGCCCTCCCTCCTGCCTCTAGGTTAAGGAAACATCCCTCCTTGGGGAATGTGTTCCCAAAGTCCTTTTGTGCACAAGGGATACATCCTGGTTCCACTGTCAGAGGTCCCTTAGACTGCCCAGACCTTCTAACTGAGACCCATGCTCAGGGGGTCTGAGTCGGTCCAATGCTGGTTTCCCAGCTATCAGTCTGGGGGGGTCCATGAGCTCCCCCTTGTTCAGGTAGCTGTCTCTGTGGGTTTCTGTAGGATGGTCTTGACCCCTTTTCTTGTCACTACTCCCTCTCTGCAACTGAATTCCAGGAGTTTGGCTCAGTGTTACGCTGTGTCTGCTTCTGTTCCCATCAGCTACTAGATGATGGCTCTAGAATGACATATAAGTTATTTATCCATCTCATTATCCTGGAAGGGCATTTAAGGTAGCCTTTCCACTGTTGCACAGATTGTTAGTTGGGGTCATTCTTGTAGGTCTCTGGACATGTCTCTAGAGTCAGTTTTCACTTCGAACCTATAATGGCTCCCTCTATTATGGTATCTGTCTTTTTTTATTTTTATTATTTATTTGTTTATTGATTTGATCTTGTCTATTCATCCCTTGACTGAATCTTCTTGGTCCCACATGTTCTCTCCTTCCCTTCTCTTTCCCCTAACTCCCTCTCCATTCATTTTGCCCCCCATTCCCGATATGCTCAGGAGATCTTGTTCCTTTCCTTCTATGAGGGACTTTGTATGAAACTCCAAGTTTCCTCCTTGTACACTTGTTTCTCTAGCAGTGTGAATTACAAGCTGGTGATCCTTTGCTCTGTGTCTAAAATCCATATATGAGTGAGTATATGCCATGTTTCTCTTTTTGTGACTGGGTTAATCTTTCACTATCTATTGGATAACCAACTGGTGTGCTCTTCCTTGGGAAATGCTCTCAGAATTTTAGCTGAAAATCAATCCAAAACAGTGTAAGGGACAATGATTTATGATTTGGGTTAGAGCCCTGCTGTGAAGTGCAAGTGATGAGTTGTTATGAGTAGGTTTTTCCTGCTGGTCTGGTTCCACCACCTTGCCCAAAGAACACACAGAGATGCTGTTAGCAAGTTACTAGTGTTTCTTACTGGCTAGCTCTTTCTTAAATATTAACCCATTTCTGTTAATCTAAGTATTTCCACGTGTTATCATCTTACCAGAGAGAGGGCCCAGACCTCTGACCTCTCCAGTCAACTCTATTTTTTTTAATGGATTTTGGCAATGTGAACTATTCCCTGTGTTTGCATAGCAAGTGTCTTTTTATCCATGGAAGTATCTTTATGGAACACTATTATATATTTTAATACCAAAATTATATTTATAAGTTACTGCATTCAGCATGGCTTGGTCCTAAAATATTGACTGGAATGCTGTGGGAGTGAAAAATGGCACTTTAGAAATGACAGACACAAATACAGAAAATCTGGGATCATTGTCTGGTGCTTACCTGGATAGAGGGTACCTACTCCATGATACAGAAACTCAACACATTTGTTATGAGCAATACAAAATGGAGGGGTTAGTTAGCCTTGGTAAGAAGACTCTGTAGGGAAGAGCTTTTCTGTAAACATTAGGGGAAGAAGCTACAGCTAATGATTTCTGTATATTGTGACAACATTTGGACACTCACCAAGTAGAAAAAAAAGATTTTATAATTGTAGTGTAGAGAGTGTAGTCTCTAGTGCACTGTGTCCTGAATCAGTATAAAGTGGCCTTCCTCTATTTTTTTGATTGTTTTTAGTTTTAGGCCTATTTTGTTTAGATATTAGGATGTAGGAGAAAATGTGGGCATGACTTGATGGTCAGCCTACCTAGCACACAGTGCTTCTAAGTAAGCACAGCACACCATGCTCCTGAGTATTCCCGGAAGTTAGAGCACTGAGTTCTGAAGTAGCATCAGTTGGTACTGGCCTGCTGTTGAGTCTGCACTCTCCACATCTGTTATGTGCTTCTCTGCATAGAGACAATGGTGATAGGAACACTCACTGTCCTGTCTGGGATGAGGGGTTAACCAATCATAATCGATAGGCTCCCACTGTATAAGTAGCTGTTCACATGCAA